GGGCAACAAAATTATGAATGAGAGGGGGCTGAAGCGGGTTAGGGCTATAGATCACATTCTCCATCTCCACATTTTTTTAATCTCCCAGCCATGTGCCAATTCCCAGTTTCAACAATCTTAAAAGAATATCCCTGACCAGCTGTTTCGATCACCCATGTTCGAACTGAATTTGTGTCTAAAACCAGGGGGGCATAACCCCCCTCCTAAATAGTGAACCCCGTCCTTATTCAGCTTGGAGGACAGGCAGTCAAGCAAATATACATATTCACTTAAAACATTTAAAAATGTGCATAAAGTTCGCCTCACTTTGCTTTCTGGTGCTTTATTGTGTACCATTTATGTATGCAGACTCGCATGGTTAGTATTGGTTTAATACATCAATATGACAATTATACAATGACGTAACCATGCGAGTCTGCATACATAATGAGCTACACAATATTATCAGCATTTATCGCCAATATCGATAGATAGCAAAGTCAGCTGAACTTTTCAATTATCCTGGTCGCACTTCCATCATATTTAAATAAATGTTTTTTAATAACCCATTTTTAACTGAATACATATATTTGCTGGGCTGCTATGCCTGGACACAGAATAAAGACATACAGAAGTGTATCTTCTTATTAAAAGTGCGTAAGGGATTTTTTCAGTCCGCCATGTTCTTAGCAAGTGCCCTAAAGAGAGGCAGTCACCCCCCTGAAAACATATTGAAAATTTAATATTCCAGGGGGGTGAATGCCTCTCTTTAGGGCACTTGCTAAGAACATGGCCGCCAGCTATTTCGGTGAAAACGCCTTACGGTTTTGTAATGGAAGTTACACTTCTGTATGTCTTTATTCTGTGGCCTGGAGGACCCAACATTGAATATCAATTGTATTTGTATCATGCCATACAATCAATGATTTTACCTGCAATTAGTTGCACCGTTCCAGTTGTGCAGACAAGATATGCTCATGTGCTGACAAGAAACTAGTTTTGTTGGTATGATTCAGATTGTTTGAAAATTTGATCGGCCAATATTGTAAATAAATGAAGCACACAGACATCCGGTGCCGTATACAGCTCAGTGGCTCAGACAGCTTCGGATTTTCCCGATGTTCGCCCGAAGAGCATATTTCTATAAATTATGAAATAATACTGTATTTTAAAACGTTTGGAGGGCAAATATGTTGTGTTACAATCGTTGTTGGGTAGAACAATATGTGGAATCAGTGGAAAGCAAAAATAGCGAAGGTAAAGAGATTAAAATTGGATTTTTAATAGTTTTAGTGCGTATTTTTGAAATATTTTGCCCACTGCGCATGACAGTGACGTCACTTCATACGGGACTTCATCTTCACACAGAGTTTTTGGCGGGAAAATTTGTAATGTTTGGAGAAGACAAGATGGGCGCTGGTTACTTCGTGTCATCAAAGGGCATTTTTGTTCACAAATACCTGCTTATTTTACGTTATAGCGACTGGTTAGTTTTGGAAATTGTAACTTAATGGACAGGGAAAACGATTCTGTAGTAAAAGAGACAAATACGTGTAGTTTATATTGACTTGATATGTGATGTTAATATTGTTGTGAAAGACAGCCGGAAATTTCGCCACATCGCTGTACTGGTTTTTAAAAAAGTCTACTGGAAATTCGACCATGGATAAAGAGACAACGCTTGAATGAAAGAACAGCATGTGTTAGCGGTAAGTTTTTAAATGGTTTTCGGTAATATTTTGTAGTTTAAAGCTCTAGTCTCGAAGCTATACTTCGCCCAATTTTAATAACTTCGGTAGAGTGATTGAGTAGACAATTTTGACTATTATGTTGTTTTATACATCTCGTTGCTACCCAAGTTCACAACTTTAGGTAAATCACTTGCCTATAAGTATTTTTTCTTTGATAGAATATACCATTGTTTTAAAATTAATTTAAAGATTTTTTGTTTTTGACAAACGTTTTGTTTAGATTTTGAACTGTTATATTTGTAAAATATGATATACTAACTGAAGATCTAACACTTTTCCGGTTCGCTATGCATGTCAATGAGATCCAATGAATATAAACTCTACGTTTCAATTCAAAAAAGTTCGAAAGATTCAAAATTTGGGCAATGTTTATATCTGCGGATCAGTCCCTTGGGCCATTCCATTTAATGTACCCCCCCATGGACGAGCTCAATAAAATTTGAACCCCTAAGAAAAAGATCAAAGTGCCGACACAAACACCCCCCCAGAAATTAAGAAATTTTGGCCTTACCCCTCAGAAAAAACGCAAAGATCAAGGGATGCCGATGCACACAACCCCTCAGAAATGGCTTTTTTACAGTCAATTTCAGCTGACTTTTCATCGTAAGATTCCGAACTTCGTTCTGAACTTCGCAAATTCGTTGCTTATAGTCAGAGGTTTACGGTATATCTGTCCATCAATTTCACAGTAATAACTGTACTGTAATTTGAGGCAATATTATCCAAATTTTGACAACTAACATGTCTAAATTTGCTATCTTTTCTAATGGTGAGGCTTTAGAAACGTGATTTTTTGTGGCTTTAGAAACGTGATTAGGTTCTGCCGAATATCTTGTAACAACAATAACAGCAGTAAGATGTCAACACTCAAGCCCCTTTTCCACTTCACCATTTCGCTTGCCGTCGGCAACATTTTGATGTATGTTGGACAAAGCTACACGCAGTTGGGTCGAACACCAATACACTTGGCCAGACAAACAAATTAAACCTCAGTTTCACTTAGGTCAGACAGAACGTCCAGTGGTTTCCTATCAACAGTATGTAAGACAATTTCACGAATGAGTCAGACAATGTCCGTGACGACTTAAATTTTAAGACTTGTTCTGTGCCCTGTTCTGTGCACATTAAGTCCTGGCCATTCAAGCCTTTTTCATATGGTGTTAAACCCTGGCTATTATACCCCGCTTTTACATCAGTGGTAAACCCAGGGTATCAAAAAGGCGATGCTTGGTTAATTAAGACACTGTTTTCCCCCCCGGAAACTCCCGTAAAGACCCAGCCTGTCCCTGGGGGGCTGGGGTTTCAATTGACTAGTGCATAATAGGTTAATACTAATAATACCATGCTTTTTGTTTTGTTTTTGGAACGAATTTGAGGACTGCCAGAAACCGAGACCAGTTGATTTTTGTACTATTTATTAAGATGTATGGTACTATTAAAACACAAACTATCGTTACAGTTCTGTTGCCGGCAACATTGCAATATTGTCACGCAATATCGCAATGTTGATTCCTCTAGCAAATTGCAACCAATGCAAACAAATTGCAAATTTTTACATGCAGTTACAATTATTGGATGCGTTGACAATTTATCGAGAGGTCTTGCCTAAATGTCAGATGCCAAGCATTTGATTTGCTTGTTTTGCACTAGTAACCAATCAGGCTTTATTTACAAACTTAATGCTTCCAAATCATATTATGAACTTATGAATTTTTCAGTTGATGGTTTAATACTGTTACTGCACATAACACTGTTACTGCACATAACAGATTTCATGATTATTAGATTACACTGATATCGAAGGAACTAGACTCAGTTCCGAAATATCGCATACTCGAACCGTCCTGACCGCGTAGCTCAGTTGGAAGAGCATTGGACTAGTGTTCCAGATGTCATAGGTTCGAATCCCGCCGTGGCCAGGCATATTTTTCAAGCCTGCCCGGTGTGGATACACACTCAGCATAACATCACACAAACAATTGCAATTTGTTCACGACGGTTGCATTAGATTTGCTAGAGAAATCAGTCGATCAGTATTACAATATTGTGTGACAATATTGCAATATGTTGCCCACAACAGAACACTGGATTTGATTGTAATACACATGTTATATGTCTATCTAAGGTTCAACATTTTACAGCACTATATAAGTTTAAAATCTAGGTGTATAAGCTGTATTTTATACACTTCTAAAGAATAAATTATTAACCAATTACATTGTCTCATTCAATACACTAATCACACATCCTACATCAGATATTATTGGTAATTTCAATTACACCCCGAGATAATTACATAAACAATCTTATGTCGTACGTAATATTGTTAAACCCATTGAGTGGCAGCACTCTCCACTTGACAAGTAAAATCGTCTGGCGTTAGACAGAGTAAAATAGTTAAAGTAGGGTGCATTGGGGTGCATTGCCACTTGAAGGGTTAATTCACTTTAATTTATTAAATGGGTTTAACCCTTTAACTGGGGAATATATGCATCCTAATGAGCCCTATATGTATAGACCCACTGCACTGACATCACAAATCCTTGGAGTGTCCTCCAGATGCTCCCTAACAATGTATGTTCGGGTACAACAACCACATACAGCGCAAAAATTAACCGTTAAATTACAAAATTATTATCAACTTTTACAAAATTTGCTTTCTTTACAAAAGTTATATTATGCATAGATTACAAATTTGCCCTCCAGATGCATTGTCACCGGCGCTGTGATGTCATGTGCAAAGGGTCTATAGTTTATTATTGCACTCTGTGTATAAATTTCCACTTGATAATCTCTGTCTACCAGACCCTTCTACTATTATTCAATCGAGTGAAATGCCAACAAAATCTTGCTATTTATCCACTTAATGCATACTTGTCACTGGATGATGTTCTACCCTTAAAAATACAATAATAGAATGTGGGGAGCATTGCAGCTAATCAGTTAACCCATTAAGCGCCAGCGCTTTCCCTTTGACAAGTAAAATCATCTGGCGTTAGACAGAGTAAAATACTAAAGTAGGGTGCATCAGGGTGCAATGCGACTCAATGGGTTAACTACAGTGTAGACACATGGGCAGATAGGCCAGTTAACCCATTAAGTGCCAGCGCTCTCCCTTTGACGAGTAAAATCGTCTGGCGTTAGACAGAGTAAAATACTAAAGTAGGGTGCATCAGGGTGCAATGTGACTCAATGGGTTAATCTTACTCATTTTAGGCACAACAGCAATTCAACTATGTAACAAAATACCGATGTGTACAAGCCAATCAAGTTCAACATATTGTCATTTTTGGATGTTGTATTTAATAGTTCAGTTGGATTTGCAGATGGACGAAAGTGAAAAGGTCAGTTTCAATAACGGTAGTTGTGTATTGTAACTAGAAAGATACTATTCATCACTTATTTACTGAGACCAAGGGAAACAGTGTGTTTTGTGGACCCGAGACCGCCGTTGTTGCCTGAGGTGAGGGACCACAAAACACACTGTTTTCCCAAGGTCTCAGTAAATAAGTGTTTTGTTATATAGTATATAAGTGTCAAAGTATGAATAATTCACCGGTTATTGGAGTGACTTAATTTGAAACCAAAACTGGATAAATGGAACGCCGTAAATGTTTAGTGTAAAAAGTTTAAAAAATGAACTTTGGAACTTCGTGGTTGACACACGTGCATATTGCACCCATTTTATTATTGACCAGTCAATAAATGTTTCATTGCGGACCGGTTGCCGAACATGATGTTTTGTGGACCGGCATGTGACACAGTTTTAACCAATCGGCAAACAGAAAAATTGAACTTTGACACTAACTACTGTATATAACAATTATGTTTGTGATGTTACTCTGAGTGTATATTCACACCGGGCAAGCTTGAAAAATATGCCTTGAAAAAAATACTAGCCCAATTCTCTGCCAACTGAGCTACACGGTCAGGTTGGTTCAAGTATGTGTATTTCGGATGGAACAGACATATGGCAGGCATATTTTTCAAGCTTGCCTGGTGTGGATATACACTCAGAGTAACATCACAAACATCATATTCACCTGAGTACATTACACCAATGTTCACAGAAAAAAAATCAAGATACTATTATATAAGAGTGAATTTATGAAAATTTTCCCTCAATGGTCTCCATTTCAACCCAAATTGTTCAAAGCTTTTTTTATCAGCCGAAAGTTATTGCTTTCATGAGAGAAATCATTTCCGAAATTTTTCAGAAAGTGTGGAGTGGGTTGAGGCACTTTTACCCTGGGTCCCCTTTTGGAATTTTTCAAAATTTTTATATTATATTATAAAGTTACGTTTTGAACAATTCAACATCAGATTTTGCTGATTTCTAATGCCTTCTTCTTCAGTATTTAGTCCTTGAATTTGCTCATACATGGCCTTGAATGTCCTTGAAAAGTCCTTGAATTTGACAATTCCTGACATGTACGAACCTAGCTGTTTCAAGAAGTTTGAAATAGTTCGGGGCACTTTTTGAATTTTTGAGAAATTTCCTCTGAATTTTACCAACGCAGCATATAAATTATAAATGCTGAATAATAATTGTGTATGCCAATAAGGCAATTTGAATCCTATTGGCATACAAAATTGTTATTTAGAATTTACAATTTCTATGCTGCATCCAATCTATTGACCAATCAGGGGATGCTTTTGTAAATACCCATGTACCCAAATATTCAGAAGCCTTTATTTTTATGCTAAAACAGAAACATTCCAGAGAATAAATTAATACAATTATATTCAAATTTAGGGTGTGTTACAGCTGTATATTTTGCCGCTGCCTTGTGTGGCCCTCGCCTGTTTGTGAAAAAAGTACTTTGAAGATCAAGATACGACGCTTAAATAGAGGAAAGCACAAATGCCGAAGTTAAAGACATGATTAGGTATGTTTTATCAATTTGATGTGAAATGTTGATAAATTTTGTGAGTTAAAGTGGTTGAAACTGCTTGTCGAATTTGACGATCGCAAGTCGCTTTGTGTTCAACATTTTGTGGTGGTTTATATAGATACTGAATTCAGTGGTGTAACAGAGGAACCCTTAGGCATATTTGGTGTGGGGGGCCTGTTAACTGTTGTTATTGTTTGAATGAGATGTTATATTTAGCTATATTTCCCTCTCTATAACAATCACAGCTACAACACAACTAAGGAGCCAATTATCTGGAGCACTTTCAACCCAGGGGTTGAACTGTTAACCGGTTTGAATTTTTTGTGATTACATGGATGATTTCGACGCCAGGTTTGAAATGCTATATGTCCCTGGCATTGATTCCCGGAAGTACAAAAATGGTTCCATAACCTCCATTTTGTTTTCTTGTATAAAATAGTCACTACCACACATGCTCGAGTGAGTAACTGATTAAAATTTTCAGCCCCAGGTTGAAACAATTACATGACAAAATTTTCAACCCAGGGCCGAGTTTTCCCTCCTGGCAGAGGTCTCTATTGGTAGAGACCTCTACCAGCAAAGAGGGTTGAATTTCAACCCCGGGGTTGATAATAATGTAATGTAATTGTGTGTTTGATTTTTTTGAAGTTTTGTATTACACACAGGGATGAAATTTCAACCCAGTCAACAGAGCTGGGTTCAACCACGGGGTTGAAAATGCTCCATGTAATCGGCTTCTAATAAGAATAAGAATACTGTTTCTTTTATTTGAGATGGAATAACAAATTCAGTTGATTATTTTGCATTATTAATTTTGCATTTTCCCATCAATTCTTAACCTGCATTTTTACATCTCATTTTCTGGGCGATGGGTTGTGGCTGTGTGGGGGGGGGGGGCTTAACTGTCGGCCCCTAATTTGAATTAACCCTGCCTAATACCTCAACGTTTCGTGAAGTTTAGTTCAAATTAGCAGAGATTAGTGCATAAAGTATTTAGGATATTTTGAAGCTAAATTTGTTTTTAAATTTGTCATTTTAGTGAATACAAGAAATGTTGAATAGTCTGCTGCAAGGAGACATCGGGCATTGTAATGAATGGACGATAATGTGAGTTGCTGGCAAACCTACAGCCCCTACTGCGATAGGCAGTCAAGTATTTTTAACCTGCACAGTTTTGTTTTTATTTCCCCTATTTTATTTTATGTTGATAAATATCATGACTCATGACTTTTAATGTTGGAAGGAGTTGAGAGTCCCCACTCAACTGCATGCCTTTTGAATAATAATTATAGACTCCATTTTACATGCTACCATTTTACCTGTGAGAATTTTTTGAAAATTTTGAGATTTGAAAGCTATTGCTTTCAACTATATAGAGCCCAACTATATGTCATTGGCTCTGGGAATAAATGGGTGTACTGTTTGTGTTGAATGGTTTGAAGTGTTGCAGGTATGTTGGGATCTCTAATAAAGTTGTGATATTATTTCAGTGCTGTTTCTACTGTATAAAGGCCCAGCTCGCTATAGCTATATGCCTTAGCCTAAATAATTTCAGTTCTATTTCAATTAAAACATTTTAAGTACTGTTTCCATAAAGGACAGCTCGCTATGGCTATATGCCATGGCCTAAATAATTTCAGTTATATTTCAATTAAAACATTCTAAGTACTTTCCATAAAGGACAGCTTGCTATGGCTATATACCTTAGCCTAAAATATTTCAGTTATATTTCAATTAAAACATTTTAAGTAGTGTTTCCATAAAGGACAGCTTGCTATTGGCTATATGCCATGGCCTAAATAATTTCAGTTATATTTCAATTAAAACATTCTAAGTACTTTCCATAAAGGACAGCTTGCTATGGCTATATGCCTTAGCCTAAAAAAATTCAGTTATATTTCAATTAAAACATTTTAAGTAGTGTTTCCATAAAGGACAGCTTGCTATTGGCTATATGCCATGGCCTAAATAATTTCAGTTATATTTCAATTAAAACATTTTAAGTAGTGTTTCCATAAAGGACAGCTTGCTATTGGTTATATGCCTTAGCCTGAAAAATTTCAATATTAAATTTAGCATTTAACTATATTGCTTAAGCTTTTGAAATAGACATCGCAGTTTATTGATATTCAAATTTATTAAGATTCACTGCCTATGTGACATGTTTTAGTTATGATGAAAGGCAAGTATAAAGTGCCATTGGAGTAAAAGTGTATTTATGTTTTATAAAACTGTGCAGTAGTTTTACACAACTATATACAGTGTTACTAAACTGCATGCTAAAAGTTTCTGTTGAATGGTGAATGGTGAATGGTGGCTTGTAATTAGGGGTATCTGGCTAGGATTTGACATTTAAATATTTACAAGTGCATTAGGTCTCTTAGGTTTAGTTTAAGACCAACATGAGCGAGTGAGATAAACTCGACTAGCTTATGTAGGTTAAGGCATCAAGCGTGAATTCCGTGCGTGCACTAGACCCCTCAGGATCGGATCCCAAACCTAATCAATACCAAATGTGAAATTACCCCCACCTTACCACATCGTTGGGCAAATGTGCGATACTATGAGGGATATCTTGGGCAAATGTGCATTTTCTTGGTGGATATCTTGGGCAAATGTGCAATACTATGAGGGATATCTTGGGCAAATGTGCATTTTCTTGGTGGATATCTTGGGCAAATGTGCAATACCATCAGGAATATCTTGGGCAAATGTGCAATATGATGAGGGATATCTTGGCAAATATCTTGGATAAATTTATCTTAAATTGCTAAAGAACAATGTTGTAAGGTTAGTAGATATTTATATTAGCGATAGAATAGGGGTTCCTTGCGCATAGGAACGAAGTAAGGTTGGCTAATGGAGTGTAACAATCTAACAATATAGACTTTGATGGCTTGAACCATGGATAATAAAATATATGGATAGGAAACTAGCTGACGTGACCTAATCTTTTCAATGGGCTGATGGCGTGATTGGATGTTCAAACCTAGTTGCAAACCAAATTCTCAAAAACGGCATGTTGAGCAATAATACAGCTAAACATTTTAGTCAAAGAGCAAATGAATATAACTACGCCATTCTACGATGAAATCTATAAGTATTCCCAGTCAATTTATTTCAAGCACTAAACAGTGAAAAATGCATCCCAAATTTCGTTAAAATTGGCGACGCCAATTTCGTAGTTGTACAAATGTAAAAAAAAAAACGAAAACCATTTACCTTGAATACTTTGTCGTGGCTTAGGCATTTTTTTAAAACAATTAGACCAGTTTATGCTTCAATATTACTCTTTTAAAGCGGAAAATATGGTGAAACAACAAAAATGCCGAGAACTTTGCAATACGCGTGACGTCACAGATTGCAACTAGGTTGTTTTTGCTTACGTCAGCTATAGAGTCCTATCCATTTATTTTATTATCCATGTTTGAACGAAAGTTTTTAACGATGATTTTCTTTGCCAAAACTGTACGTTCGAAATTCGTCAGCTTCTGAATTTGAAAACCGATCAAAAATCATTACAAGCGCAGCAACACGCAACAGTTTAGATAGGGTCATGAGGCAGGATGTGTACAAGGAAAGCTTTGCCAGAGTTTTGTGTTTCAAATAGAACGACGATTGGAAATTACTGTTTGATTCTTTGTAATATCTTGTAGCTTGTTAGTAAAAAAGAAATTTGTCACTTTCCTCATCTAAACCTTTCTTCAAAAAAACTGGCATCGTTTGTCTTGGGGTTAGGGGGGTACAAATGGTACCCATAGCTTAGAGGGTGCAAATAGTACCCGTAAGAAGACTTGGTGGAAATCATGTTGGTCGTTTGGATCGGCGAGAATAAGACAATTATGGCGGCAAAGTTTTTTTAAACATTTTCTCTCCCGTAGCAAGGTAAAGCATGTATTTTCCTGGTAGCCGGTCTTACTTCATGAAAAAACAGTCCGCTACCAGTGACTAGGTCCCCTCTCTAATGGCGGCCATTGCGGCTCAATGTGTTCAATGGAACACAAAGGTATTCAAGCATGTAGAGGTATTCCTTTTCAGGGCGGTTGCATGCGGATAATATGGTCCGTCGCGTGCGCAAAATAGTTAGCGAGATAGACAGTTTAGAAGCGTCCAAACTGCGCAATACACACTCGCACGAAACGTAAAAATAAAATGGCTTAATAAAACTGCGAAAACAAAAAATTGACAACTTTGCCATTTTGAGCGTGTTCAATAGGGCGTGCGCACGCACAAAGTTTTTTCATAAGATGTTCTGGTTTTAACATAAATAATAAAAAGAAGTGTCCGTGGTTGGGGCTGAATAGTACTGTGGAAGATTATTGGGTTGGAAAATTTACAATCAAGATCTGTATTTTTGGACAATTATTACTCTTTGAAAAATAGTATCCTGCTGATGTAAAATAACATCTAAAGGGTTTAGCAACAATGATGTCCAAAGAGAATGTTAGCCACAAAGTTTATTTCATAAAATGAGTTATCTTTATGTATACTCAATTAAAAGGCAGTTCAGTTTTAATAATAATTGATATAAATTGAAACTCATTCTGGCTCAAATTTTATTTCATAAAATATTTTTCTCAGAATACGCAATTACATGACCATAGAAAAAGAATATTTGTTAAGTCAAAAGTTTAATAATATTTATCATAATTCATATTCAAAGTGACTTTGGCTCAAATTTTATGCCCGAGTAGATTGTGTCCACAGAAACCCGAGGTATTATACTAGATGCGAAATACAACGTTTTAGAAAAACATTAAAACTAAGTCTAAAGTCAGATAAGGTTTTCATATAGTCATAAGTCAGAGCATAATACTCGCCTTTTAAGCAAAAGCGAAAAGATTATTTTCGCCACAATTTCACGTAAACCCAAACGTGGTGACGGAATTTCCCAGCAATTATTTGTGCTGAATTTGTACTAAATCAGAAATTTAACCAAAATATAAATTTGCCCTCACCTGGTTAGATAATCAAGATTTGTGACGATATGGACACCACCCTGGGGGGGGTCAATATATTAGAAGTTTGATTAGTACTAAGTTGTACTATTAGTACTATTAGTACTGAAATCATGGCTTTGACAGGGTTGACTTAGCCTGAGAACCCAATAATTTCCCATTCCTTCTCTGTAATATGCATCTTTAATTCACTTTTATACATCTTTACGTAACCATATGACAAGTTGGATATCCTATAACATAGATACGGCAGGCCCTCTACTCTCTGGATATAACTTGGAACAGAATGGCTGAAATTGAGTATACTTTAAAGAGACTTTAATGAAATAAAATTTGGGGCTAATGGCTTAATGCATATGTCGTCTTTCGTTTAAAGGAAAAATACCACACTCTCTAAGCGTCATTGTTGCTAGTAGTTGTGTATAAGCTTTATGAAAAAAATCAACGTCTTGAGATTTTGTTTTACTTATATAATTAACATGCTTTTTGTTTTTCAACAAGTAATAATGGTCTAAGAAATACATATTTAAATTGCACATGTTCGTTAGCTTCTTCACTTATTATTAGCATGACAAAATTACTGGATGCTGATTGGTTGAGATGAGTACAATTATTTCATTAA